TTAGTCGGTTAAGCGTCCAACTTTCGCTTAGGTCATGATCTCGCGGTTCGTGGGTTCGAGCCCCACATCGGGCTCTGTGCTGACTGCCAGCTCAGAGCCTGGAGCCTGTTTCTGAGTCTGTGACTCCCTCTCTCTCTGAACCTCCCCTGCTCACGCTGTCTCTCTCTCTCTCTCCTAGAAATAAATAAAAAGCATTAAAAAAATTTGAAAAAAAAAAGGAGGAAGGATGAATGAAAGAGAACCCCTGTAGGTTTTAGAAAAGTGTACATGAAAGTTGTTTAAATACATATTTAACATTTGCTAAAAATAGCTCTGATTGCAGGAGAAAATTAATTAAACTAGACGAAAAGCTTCTAATCAGATTTATACTATCTGATCGTATAATTAGACCTGGCTTTTAGGCCATCCTAACAAGTTTATTTGAAAAGGAAGAGAGATCATTGTTTATTGGAATGGCAATAATTTGGGTTTCTTTAATTGACTCCTGGTGTGAATACGTTGATGCCTGCTGTTCTCTAAGAGGCAGCATGGAAAGTTTCCAGGAAAAGTTCACATTCCAGGGGCGGCTTTGGAATCTACTTTCCATTGCAACCCAAGTCTGCCACTGGGGCTTGAATTTGTCCCAACAAAACGCCAACTTTCAAAGGCAGCCTCACCAGGCAGCAATCATCATAGCTGTGCCAGGGGGCTGGATAAGGAGCCCAGTTTTGAGCTGGGTCATCAAGATAATGGAGGGCATTTCCGAAATCTTACCTTCCCTATGTCCAAAGCACTAAAAACCACAGAGTACCAAAGGCTGTGACTTCAGGAGCCAACAGTTAGGATTTGTAGACAGTATTAACTTTCTGACATTGTCAGCCCTGAAAGAGCTGCAATGAAGGGGGAGAGAGGAGTACTTATCTTTCTCCTCCCAGGGCTCCCAAATTCCCAAAAGCAGTGTTGCCAGTTGCCTGCTAGAAATGAGTACACGCCATAGGAAATTAATAAGGTATAAAATAAAAATAATCCATAACCCACCTGAAAGCAGAGTGTGTTTTGAAGTCCCTTACTGCTCTAAGCTCTAGTAAATCGATGTTTTCTTTATAGGGACTTTTGGTCAGAAAGAGGGTTCAGAGGGGCGCCTGGGTGGCTCAGTTGGTTAAGCGTCCAACGTCTGCTCAAGTCATGATCTCATAGTTCATGAGTTCAAGCCCCATGTTGGGCTCTGTGCTGACAGCTCAGAACCCAGGGCCTGCTTTGGATTCTACATCTTCCTCTCTCTCTGTTCCTGCCCTTTTTGCACTCTGTCTCTCTCTCTCTCTCTCTCTCAAAAATAAATAAAGATTAAAAAAAATATTTTAAATTAAAAAAAGAAAAAGAAAGAAGGTAGAGAAGAGAGGTCCTGAAAGAGGAAGTGGGGATTTCAAATCCTGGTTTGACCCAGAAGGCCTAACAGATGACCAACTCTCTATACATGATCATAATGGCAACTCTCCTTCCTTCTGAGAACATCCAACATGCAACCCCACCATGCTGGTATAGTACTAATCATGGTTCTTTCCCTGACCCAGTCCCCCTGAACATAGTTAATCATTGTGAGAGTAGGCATCTGACCCAAGCTGAGCTTTTCCCAGGGAATTAGAACTGGAGCTAAAAAGAAGTCAGTCTCTCTCTGGGTCTCAGGGCTGTGGGACATAAAGCCCAAGAGCCATCAAGTGCCATCTCACTGGCTTCAGAAATTAAAGGCAGAGTAGGATCCCAATACCATTCAGGTCCCTGATTCTGCTTGTTCCTGAGATGTAGCTCGATATCATCACCATCATACTAATTCAACCTTTTTGCTTAATCTAGTTTGCATTGAGTTTCTGTTCTTTGTAACCAAAAGAGTCCCGGCTAATAAAACACACCTTTCTGTTTAAAAAATAAATGTTTAAAGAAATAATTAGAATAAGAAAAAAAATTAGGATGTCTTTCTAATCATCTTCTAGGTCTTCTCCTCTTCTCCACAGGACTTCCCTGCTTCTCACTGCCTAAAATGTCTCTTACCCTGAAGAATATATGATAGTACCAACTTCTAAAACATAGTGGTAATTGGGAAAGTGGTGGGAAATAAAGCAAATCAAAGAGTAGATATGAAATGCATTGAGGACACCTACCTGGCACCTCCAGAGGGACTGGGTGTCTTTCCCAGTCCTCCAAGAAGCAGACACCAAGACAGGATTAGATGTGCAAGAGATTTATTAGGAAAACACCTGTGAGGGAAAATGGGAAGGGAGCCCGAAGAAATATCAGACTGAGGATGGGTCTGACCTTGTGAAGGAAAAGGGGAAAGGAGAATTAGGATGGAAGTATCTTAGACTGTTTTGCAATTTTAAAAAATTCTTTTTTTAATGTTTATTTATTTTTGAGAGAGAGAGAGTGAGGGAAGGGCAAAGAGAGGAGAGGAGGAGGGCAGAAGATCTGAAGCAGGCTCTGCACTAAGAGCAGAGAGCTCAACGTGGAACTCAAACTCACAAACTATGAGATCATGACCTGAGCCTAAGTTGGACACTTAACCAACTGAGCCACCCAGGTGCCCCAGTCCTAAAAAAATTATTTAAAGATTTCACAAGGCAGGGGTCTCTGGCTGGCTAAGTTAATAAAGCATGCAACTCTCAATCTAGAGATGGTGAGTTCAAGCCCCATGTTGGGCATAGAGCCTACTTGAAAAAAAATAATAAATTTCACCAAGACAGTCAGGGAGTCTTTGAGACAAAGTCACTCACTGGAAGAGTACCCCATCTGCAGTGTCTCCCAAGAACAAGCCTGCCTGCTATAGTACTGCTATCATACTCAGTCACCAGCTAGGAGCAGCGTTGTGGGAAGCCTGGCCACAGGACAACTGCAGTGATGGATTTCAGAGTGGGCAACTGGGGCCCTCAGTCAATTATGCTCTGCACAGTTGGAGATCTGAGTGGTACTTTTTCATGGCCACCATGGTCTGCCTCTTCACTCCACGGGGCCCCATTCAGCACCTATTTCTTCAATGTCCACTTGAATGCCACCTGCTCCTCTGCCCTGATTTATCCAAGCAGATAAATCAGGGATTTTTCTATCCCTCTGGATTCCCACAGCATTTGCTCAACCTAATACTTTCTATCTTCTGTTACTTTCTTGCAATACTTTCTGTTTTATATTGTGAGTGATATATGCAGCCCACCCAGATACAACAAACCCCTGTAAGCCATTATTCTATAAGGGGACCGAGGTGGGAATAGAGGCTGCTTACCTTATTTGCCTATTTTGGGCACTTGAATTTTGACCTGAAATCTTGGAGTTTACCTCATTTAGGCAGTTGCTTTATTCCCTCCAGCCTCAGACTCTTATTTGTTCACATCTCAACATTTCTCAAATTGGGAAGCCACTTAGAACTTATGTTAAAAGAAATTTGCCACCTGCTGGCAGGAGAGTAAGTAGAGACAGAGCTGTTGCTGTCTGCCCATGGGAGAACTTAGCACAGCATATTTACAATAAGTGAAGCAAATATTTATTGCTGAAGGCATGACTACACTTTCATGTTTTCTAGCAAAACAACAGCCAAGCACTCCAGAGGACACTAGAAGAGGATTGCCAGTCTACACAATGGGCATAGTAATTACATACAATAAAAATTGATAGACATCTCAGGAGAAATAGCAGAATTTTTAAAGTTAAGGAAGGTCGGTATGATTAACTCATTCATCACAAAACAACTCTCAGGCACCAAGTATCTTTTAGAACCTTCTTTATTTCACAAGAAGCTGTTTACCTTCTAGAAAGGATTAATTTCATTAAGAGTAGAACAAAATTATGAATTTAACCAAATAGGAAATACAAATGAAACCCTGGTATTCTACAATACAGCTAACAATTAGAGCCTAAGCCTACAGTTTCTAAGAAAGTCAAGATCACTAGGCCAGGTGATAAAAAGCAGAGCATCCTCATGATGCTGTCTATGCACAACTGTCAATGGTCACAAACAATTCAGAAGAATCCATAGGCTGAATCTGAAAGAGCTTTATTCTTGGGGTATCTGGCTTAGTTGGTAAAGCATGTGACTCTTGGTCTCAGGGTTGTGAGTTCAAGCCCCATGTTGGGTGTGGAGATTACTTAAAAGTAAAACTTTAGGGGTGTCTGAGTGGCTCAGTTGGTTAAGCTTCCAACTCTTAATTTCAGTTCAGGTTGTGATCCCAGGGTTGTGGGACTGAGCCCTGCATCAGGCTCCACAATAAGCATGGGGCCTGCTTAGGACTATCTCAGAGTGCCTGGGTGGCTCAGTTGGTTAAGCATACAACTTTGGCTTAGGCCATGGCCTCATGGCTTGTGGGTTCGAGCCCTGTGTCAGGCTCTGTGCTGGCAGCTCAGAGCCTGGACCCTGCTTCAGATTCTGTGTCTCCCTCTCTGCCCCTCCCCCGCTCGTGCTCTCTCTGTCTTTCAAAAAAAATGAATGTAAAATAAAAATTTAAAAAAAAGGACTCTCTCTATCTCTGTCTCTCTCTCTCTGTCCCTCTCTTCTGCTCTGCTCTGTCTCTTTCTAAAAAAAACAAAAAACAAAAAAAAAAACCACTTTATGAAAAAGTGAAGAGGTTTATTCTGAAACACTGAGTGAGGTACTGAAAAAGAATGTACAGATAAATGTTATATTTATAGTAGTCTTTTCCCCCTTAAAACTTGTTATTATATTATCAGTTTATCTAAAAATGTATGGCATGTCGAACTTGAGGAACTAGGGTTACTATAATAATAAGTGGAATAGTTCTTCAACTTTTGACTTTAGGTTGATGCCAAAATGATTTGTTAAGAATGACTAAATCCAAACTCTGCAGTAAGAATTCTGTACAGTTTAAATATTGAGTTAGCAAAGCTCAGTACCAATGGTCCTCAATTTGCTGGTTCAATTTACGATGGTTCAACATACGATGTTTCAACTTTATGATGATGTGAAAGCAAGGTACACTCAGTAGAAAGTGTGCTTAAAATTTTTAATTTTGATCTTTTCTCAGGCTGGTGACATGCAGGATGATATTCTCTCATGACTGCTGGGCGGCAGCAGTGAGCTGCACCTCCCCGTCCAACCATGATCAGGAGGGTAAACAACAGATACACTGACCATCATTCATTCTCCATCCATACAACCATTCTGTTTTTCCCTTCCATTTCATTATTCAATAAATTGCCTGAGATATTCAATGTTTTATTGTAAAGTAAGCTTTGTGTTAGATTATTTTGCCCAGCTGTAGCCTTATGTAAGTATTCTGAGCATGTTTAAGGTAGGCTAGGCCAACCGATGATGTTCAGTAGGTTAGGTATGTTAGTTGCATTTTTAACTTATAATATTTTCAACTTACAATGAGTTTATCAGGACTTAACCCCATCATAAGTTGAGGAAGATCTGTATATGCATCACAATTCACTCTTCCTCCTTTGCCTATGGGAGACATAACTGATCAGCCATGGGACTCCTTTTTTCTAGGCCACGACTCTGCAGAATTATTCTCAACCAAGTGTTCTAGGAAGCCACTACCAACTGATTGGATTTGGTACCTAATAAGATACTTGTTTGCCATCCCTATGCTATGTTCTTACATGGAATTAGCTCCAAAGAATATACAAAGGGTTCCAACACCAGTCTCCTCTCTCTCTACCCTAAGAGATTAGTGAAAGCTTATGATAGCATGGCTAAAAGAACCATTTGGGGGTCAGCTTGGAATCTTCTTGCAGTTCTAGAATCTCTAGATCTAGTGTCCCATATTGTTTTAAACCACCCCCACTTTGTTACTAATCACAAAAAGTTGTGATTTTCTTCCCCAAAATATGCCCTACAATGCTTGCTGCCTGTTCTACTAACTAATGAAAATGGCAGTATGGTATTTCATAAAATTTAACGCTTTCACCAAGTGTTCTGTGTCTTTATTCTCTTGGTCTTTAATCAGAGTATGCTATCTTTTTTAGGAAGGATAAGAATCACTTCCTGCTTAGAACTGAAGCTGAAAATATCCCTCATTTCAGGGTATCTTGAAACTTTCTGTGTCATACCATCAAGCTCCTCCTGGGAAAAAGCAACTCAGGGTATCACTATTTAATCATGCCGACCCCAGTTACATATAGGCTTAATGGAGCATATCTTATTTTCCCTTGCTAGGCTGTGAGCCTCCTGAGCCCAGGGACTATACTCTTTATGTATCCCAATTATACTACTTTATATCAAAACATTCATATAGAAGGTACTCAATTTTTTTCAGAAAGGGGATCAAAGAAGGGAGAATTCTTTTATGGTACTGGGTTACATCTCCATTTTAATCTGTTGTGACTCTTGGATCTGAGGAAGGATTAAAATAATTTTGTTTCTATAAATATTAACCTCCTCCTCATTTCCATCCCCAAGAATCCCTGATATTCAAAGAATTCCTCAGCCTAAAAAATAAATAAACATAGAGTGCCTTTCATTTGCTTCATCTGGGGTTCTCAATGCTAGCTGAACATTAGACTCACCTGGAGAGCTCCTAAAAATGACAGTACCAGGGCCCTAGTTCAGAATAATTTAAGCAGATTCAGTGGGGGTGGAGCACTGGCACATCATCTTTCCTAGTTCTTGCAAGAGCCCCACAGGATAGGTGCTGTTATCCCCATTTTCCAAATGAGAAAACTGAGGCTCTGGAAGGTTGGGAATCTACCCATTATACACCTAATAGGAGATAGAACAAGACTGGTCCCCAAATAGCTCCCAAATGTGTGCTGTTTTTGATAAATGTTCTCCTTAATATATTTTAACAACATGTGAGGTAGCACCACCAAAAGCCCTAAGCTGTGGACAGGCTGGCATCAGATACAGAGAACCATTCATCCACACACAGCAGCAGGAGGGGACCTTCACTTGCCCAAGCAGAGCAGGCACAAACCTTAACTGTCTCTGAATTGTGAACTGTCCTGTTACATCTCGGCACCATGACCAGGATGACTGTTTTCTCTCAGGAAGCCAGAAACTTAGGGCAGCAAAAATGACTTAGGGCAGCAAAAATGACTTAGGGCAGCAAAAATGACTTAGGGCTGGATGGCCAGCCAAAAGTCAACATCTTTTGTAAATATTCTTGAATTTTGAAAACTTTTAGTTCCTGAATGATGCTGCTATGTATTTAGATTTCAGTGAGTCTAAGTGCATGGGATAGGCTTTGATTTTTAAAAAGATGGATTAAATGAATTGATACGAGTAAGCCAAAAGTGAGAACAGCTTGCCTATCATCTCTATTTCCTTACTTTCACTTGATGTATTCCCTAGACAAAACAAGAAAACTCAAAGCAACTCTCAAAAAGACTGAAGAATTCCCCCTAAAGATGCCCATCTTTATTAGAGAATTTAATAAACATTTTCCCCCCAAATGTTGCACAAATGGCTACTTTTTCCTGCTATTCTGAAGCTACCGAGACATCTTGGGGCGAGTGGAGTCGCCGCCAGACTCTCCGGGTTATGGTGGAGGCAGACTTCTTTCCCCAGCTTGTGGCTGACTGGGGACAAGCCTTCCACAATATGGATTTCGTTGTTTGAACTCCCTCAGCTCAGCAACGCCCCTTGTCAGAGCACAGAGCCTATAGTTATATCACCGATCAGCCCAGGAAACAGCTAGTCATGAATCACAGAGGCTCATGGATTTCGGCCGAACAAAGAACTTCAGCTCTGGGAAACTTTCTGGCTCAGACTTTCTCTCCGTCCCAGTGGAAAAGCAGGTAATCTCCAACCATCCTGTAGAAAACCAGTGCAAGGATCACACAAGGCAGGTGTATACAACCCAGCCATGGCTTTATCTTCTCATATCCACAAATGCTATTTTTCATACCAGCTGCATCCTAAACCCTGAGTTAAGATGGTGATTAGTGGTGGTGGTGGGCGTCTCAGTAGGAGCTTTCTTAAGAAGAAAGGGCTTTGATTGAGCCAATGAAAGCTGTTGCCAGGGAACCAGATGCCATGAACAGGCCACTCCAACAGCGCAAGAATACAAACCGGGAGTGCTGGACTGAGCATTAAGTGTACTTGGCAGCCGAGTCCTACAAGGCCTGTTAACCCTTTGTGCACCTAACTATGTCTAGACAGTGAATCAGGAGAAGGATTATCATAAAATCTTAAAAGCCACTCTTGCTCTCAGTATCTCCCATTGGAAGTCATTATTTCAAAGAAGTTCTCCCTGCTTGACTAACAACTCCCCTGGGACACCTGCTTTAGAGTGGGTTGGCATTGGAGGTGGGCATGACTGAGGGCTGGCTATGAGGTCATGAGGTTCTACAGAAGGCACTGCTCATATCTGACCACACTTGTTACATATGACACGATCCAACTTGTGATAGAGTTTTATCTGGTGTTTCGGCCCCTAGGCAAGGGATTCTGCTGCCTCAGGTGAGTCTGTTCTGTGAGATGAGAAGGAAATACTTCCCTTCTTCCTTAAATATATACTTACAGAGCCTCCTGAGGCCAGCCTGAAGTTGGCAGCCCCTGCCCCATTTTAAGATTGTTCTGAGGAACGTGGGTACAGGCTGGCTCTTAGGAATATGGGGGAGCAGGCAAAGCTTCTGTGGCTGGGTCTCCCAACCTACCTCCCAAGGGATACCGTCCTCAGTCTTGCCCCACCTTCTCTCCTTCTTTCCCTCACTCTTCCCCCATCCATCCCAAATTCATACATCCACTCTGGGTCCCATTCCTACACAGTGTGTTTAATTCAGTTTCTATAGAGAGACTTGCATTTTAACTCCATTCTCAGGGAGACCTGACTTTCCCAAAGGAAACTATAAAAGTTGAATAAAAGACAGGGAGGTCTCCTGTGGGCTAGGGGCTCCTGGGTTCACAAGGTGAACTGTAGCAACGCATGGGCCTTGAGATGAAGGCTCTCCCAGAACGCAAGCTCCCTGATGCCCCTTCCTCTTCCTCAGACTGTCAGTCCCTGCTCCCTGGGACTGAGGGTGGGGACACATCAATCTGTACATCAAAACCTTACCAATGTGGGCAAATGGTGGGAAGAGAATTTGTGTATAGCTTGGCTTACATAACACATATGTCCTTGAAAAAAAATACATGGTTTATATATCAAATTAATATTTCTCTAAAATTATTAGCAGACAGTTTACAATTTTTACTTTGTGGTGGTTAGAGAGTATAAAAATTATTCTCATCACAGAATTTAGAAAATGAACTGGAAGTCAGGTGACTGAGCATTGTCTGATTGTGCAGCTCAGCAACTTAGACTTACTGTCTACTCAACATGAGATTCCCTACCATGAGGAAATGACTTGCAGAACATCATTTTGTATAGTAAAATCTCGCTACTATGTGCTAATGGTGGAGAGAGAATTCATGTGTATTCTAAATTATGGAATGAAATTTTCTGTTAAACAATAATTTCTATGTATTGAGCACATATTATGTACCAGACATTGCATTCAGTGCCTTACATAAATCATCAATTTGTTAATTGAATAAACATCATCATAACAATATTTGATGAAATTCAAAAGAAGAAATTTTCCTACAACCATACTAATGACATTGATAAAATATTTTATCTTCTTATTCTAATGTTCAAGTTATCAGAATCCATGTACTTTTGATGAACGGCATCTCCTCTGAGATTATCCCTTTAGAATTAAAATCACCGCTGCTCTCATCACCCTCCACAGGTTGGTTCCTATGAAGGCTTGTTACTTTTGTCCCCAGTGACTGAGTTGCTAGCCAGAACAGTGATTGATTTTCCCCATGTTATGAAAGTTCCAAAAATGTGTGAGTTTTATTTTGTCTCCAACTTATTATCTCCCCACCATAAATTTAAAAGCTTGCCATTACTGTGAGCACTCCTACTAATAAAATGAAGCCCTGAGCAAAAGCATAGCTAAGTATTTTAGACTCCCAAAACAAACCCTTCAGAAAGATCTGAAATAAATAGATCTTCAGTCTCCTCCCTCCTGAACTAGGCAGGCCATGGGGTGATAATTTATACATAAAGAGAGAAAGGAAGTAGGGAGTCATCACTTTCCCTTTCTATTATTTTAGAATATTCTTTATTGCCTTTTGTATTTTCTTCTTTCAAACCTGACCTGCACCACGTGAGAAATTGGCCCAAACCTCTGAGCAAGCCAAGTAACTTATCCTCAGCAGGTCCGTGCTTCTTCCAACAAATTTAGAGAGCTGTATGCTACACACTGATTTTCTTGGTGCCCTTACAGCCTTTGAATACCAAGTTTTTGTTGGTCAGTCTTTGACCTACAGCTTTAAGCTTTGTGCTATAGGCAAAGTATAGCCTATTAAAACAGGTTTTGATCTAATTATCTTCTTTTGTATATCTTTCCTGCTGGCCCAAAGATCATTGCACATCTCTATGGGCATGTGAAAAAGCAAGCAACAAATTTTTATGCAGCTCCTACGATACGTAAGGGTGCTATGGGAAGTACTAAGAACCATAAGATATAGTCCCTACCTTCCAAAGACTTACAGTCTAGTTGGAAGTATAAAACACATGTAAATGGAGACTTAACAATGCAAGGTGATACTGATTGGCATCGACATTGCCTGTATTTTAAAAAATCCTTTGTTTTGACTTTCTCCTACAACTTGTCTTTGGTGCTTGTGATAGATAACTATCGATGACTCTATCAACCTTCCTTCCACCTTCCCTCTAGAGCAAAAGGTTGAAAACCTGAAAATGTGATTTCCAACATTCTCATGCAACTAGATTTGCAAGATAAAGTGAGAAGAAGCAAGGTTGGAGAGATAAGAGTGTTTTGAGGCCTTTGCACAGCCAGACACAGATATGGTGTCCAGTCACCACCTTTGTGGCTGAAGAGGGCATTGTGGTGACCTCAGACATAACAGTTTACTGACTGCTAGATTTTAACCATGATAT